AAATTTGAATTTGAATTTGAAGTTTTGGATGTTTTGTCTGCTTTTTAAGCTAGAGAAAAAACAAACAACTGAAAGAGAGATCATGACAACACAACAACACTAGAGAGCTAGAATAATCGCAAAGAGAACTTCCTTTAATTATTCTTTGGAAAATAACTATTCCATCCATGAGGTTTTACAAAATTAATTAACTCATCCTTATATTTTTGCATATTAGTCATTTAGTCCTTGAGGTTTGGTTCCGTCTCATTAAATTATCCTTCCGTCCAAAATCAAATGTTTTTTCCGTCAAACAAATACAAAAAGCAAAAGTAAGGAGAGAGAGTTATTTTAAATGACAACTGATACCCTTAAGCTTTATTTTTCCTTCATTTTTCTTACTCATCTTCCTCTCCTCCATGGTCTTCCTCCTCTATGCACAGCACAAGCAAACATCAAGTGTTTTTATTTTATGAAGTTTTGATTATTTTATCAACAAAGAAAAATAAATCATTACATAAATATCAAATTTCTAAAGGTAAATAATTTACCATATACTTCTTTCCATTTTTAGTCTATTTTCTCACCAACCAAACAGAAAATAACAAAATAATAATAATAATCTCATGGATCTAAGATTTTTAAATATAATGATTATTAGGCTTTCATTGACTATTACCAAATTATCATTGACTATTAACCAAATACAGTTTTTAAGACTATTACCAAATTACAGTTTTTAATAATAAAAAAAGTAGAAAAATCTCTCTCCCTCACCTCTCTTATTTTTTAAGAGGATGATGAAGAAGAAGAGAGATGGCATCGCAAAAATGGACTCTCTTTGTTTAAAAATAGAAATATATGGTATAGGTCCATCGATATCTGTTACGAGGTTTGGAGACTGGTCGAATCATCTTGTAGGTGTGAGTGCGATGGGGATGGGGAGAAATCGACTGTGGCTACTGCACCACATCAGAAAGCGGCTTAGTCGTGGTGGTCGACTGCATATCAAGTCTCCATGGAAGGAGGAGAAACAGAGGAGCAGTGGTATGGAGATCTAATAAAGAAGGTGATATTGAGATGGTGAACGGTGCCGTAAAAGCTTCACAATATTTTTATTTTTTTTTACTAGAAATAGATTTGTTTATACTTTTTTCTTTAATTTTTTATTTTATCATTCATTTTTCAGATTACATTTTTTTTATTTTATTATCATGTTTTTTTTTTTTGCTTTTTCTTATTTCTTTTAAATGAAATTTATAGAAATAAATGAAATTGATAGAGAGAGATATAGAGAGTGTGTGGGAGGAGAGAAATGGATAGATAATTGCCTTTAAGAGTACCATTTACCATGGATGGATGAAGAGATACCTTGAACGGCAAAATGAGATACAACTTTAATAATTTTTTCAATATTTTTATTTATTAAGTTTATACAGTTGCAGAAATGAAGATTTGGAGAGATGGATAAGAAGAGGGATAGTGATTCTAATTTTTGTTAAGAAGAACTTGAACGGCAAAATGAGATACAACTTTAATAATTTTTTCAATATTTTTATTTATTAAGTTTATACAGTTGCAGAAATGAAGATTTGGAGAGATGGATAAGAAGAGGGATAGTGATTCTAATTTTTGTTATCAAATCTTTTACTAGGCATTTAACAGTAAATAGCAATAAAATTAGACGGAACGACCATTAATAAGACATAATCCAACTCAAAGACTAAATACCTATTATACAAAAATACGAGGACGATTTAATTAATTTTGTAAATCTGAGGGACGAAATAATTATTTTCCCTTATTCTTTTTTCCTTATATTATCCTTTCTTTTACTTCTTTGTTTGAGAAATTGGTATTTTGCAATTTAATCAAGTTGTATGCCATGAACTAATTAGCCTATTCTAAGGATGTATGCATCTTCGTTAGCTCAATTGATTGATTTTCAGATTATGTTGCTTTCTCTTGTTAATTAAAATTTTTAATTCATTTCATTTTGCTATATTTGAGATAATATTGCTTTCTTTCTTTTATTTCTTTTATCTCTTATTGTCACTATAATTAGCCATAATTAACCATTTCATCCATATAGTTTCAAAAGGAGATAATTTTATAACTAACGTGTTAATTACGATGTCCATTTTTTATAACTAACGTGTTAATTAAGATGTACAGAAAGCATAATCAGTGGAAGAGAAATGCGAAGGAGGCTCCAACTCAAGCTGATCCTCGAAGCATAATTGTCATCAGGCGACTCAGTACCTATTTTATCAACAAACAAAATAGTAAATTTAAGGTTCATATCAGACCAATAGGAGTTGTTAGCTATATAATACATTATAAAATGAGAGAAGTTTTCTAAATCTATCAAGAATAATGCAATTTTACAGAAACCTGTGTCTATTCCAATCTTGTATTTGAATGCAGTACAAAAACGTTTTGAAATACACAATAATTGAATAATACATTCAAATAATATTTCAAAAAAACTTTAAATACAACAAAAACAAATAAACTCATTGGCTTCCAATCTTGTATTTGAATGCAGTACAAAAACGTTTTGAAATACACAATAATTGAATAATACATTCAAATAATATTTCAAAAAAACTTTAAATACAACAAAAACAAATAAACTCATTGGCTTGCACACAATTATGAATGATACTAACCATTTGAATGTCAATAGCATTATACCAATAAGTAAAACATGTTTATCCATAACTTTGTAGGAATTTAAGATACAAAATAAGGCTAGCAAAGTTATATTTGCGAGTGTATACCTGGACCGGTGGCTGGACAAGTGGATACAGTGGCAAGGGTTGTCAAAAGCATGGGTCTCAAATACAGCTTGAAACTTTGAAACTTGTAATCGACGAACAAATACTTAATATTTATAATTTTTCATGTTTAATATAAGAAGCCAATTTATGCAAAACTAGATATTGCAAATTCATTTTTTTTATTGAATCATGAGAAAGATCTATAATCGATTGCAGTTTTAAATTCTCTGTTTCCAAATTGAAATGTGCATAAAAGCACATTCCTAAAAGCATTAGCATGACAAACTTGCTGTATTTCAATGGAATTTTGATAGAAATTTGCTTGTTTATTCCCCCAAGCTGATTGGGTTTAAATAGACTGAAGTATCCACATAAATAGACTGAAGTATCCACAAATTTGGAATAAATTCATAAATTACAGCCCTAATTGATACCCATTGTCTCCTAATTATGGCTGGCAATTGCAGCCTTAATTGGTTCCCTAATTGATGCCTAATATGTCTCCTAATTGATGCCCGTTTTCTCCTAATTATGGTTGACATTTACGGCCTTAATTAGCTCCCTAATTGATACCTAATTTGTTTCCTAATTGATGGTTATTTACAGTTATCGTATAGTCAATTAATTACAATAGTATATTACTAATATAGCCGAGCAATCATCCACCAATAATCAGGTCCACCATACCATAAGTGCAGCACTAGAAAACCAGAAAGGAAAAAGAAAAGAGAGAAAACCTTTTAGAGGGACATCAAGAACTTGACCAGCCATAAGAGAACTAGCTTTTGCAATTGAATTAAGGGTCATAAGAGTAGTCATAGTAGTTCCGTACTCCTGTGCGATTAAATCTAGCGAACTTCCTGATTCCACCACGTGTCCATAATGAACTACTTTCTCTCCACCAACATCATCGCAGCTACACGGTAATGGAATCTGCAGCTCCTGCCCAACCAAAATCTTGTTCCCATCCGTTATATTATTAACGGCTACTATTTGTTGGTACGTCACCAAAGCCAAGAACACATCTCTAGCTATATGATCAAGCCAGTCGCCTCGTTGAATGGTGTAGATTGGTTTCTTGTTGGATACGCCAGTCCCATTAGAGCATTTGCAGGGGAACGGGATTTTGACGACTGCGTCTTTTTTTACAGTGTACTTTGATGGGGTAAAGAAGGGGAGATTGTTTGCACCTAAAAGGGAGTTGAAGTCTTTGACACCAAAGAAATTTTGCAGGTGGGAAAGAGTGGTGGCGTTTGGAGTTTTGTAGCCAACAAGAGAATTACAAGTAGAAGAGGGATTTTGAGTGCATTTGAATCCCACTTGGGCGGCTGATTTGGCTGCTAGAGAGAAAAGAAAGAGTAGATAGAGAATTTTCTCTTTGATTTGGCTGCTAGAGAGAAAAGAAAGAGTAGATAGAGAATTTTCTCTTTGGAGAAACCCATTTCTAATATTGTTAACTTGAGATTTGGGAATTTGGGTTTAATGGGTATTTAAAATGGCGGAGTTTTGAATTGCAGGGGATGAAAATGAAGCGAGTGGTTTGTAGGATATAAGTTAGGTTGACAGCAGAAATGTAACCTTTGACGAGGGTAGACTTTGACTTTCTTGAGTGACTTTGTTATCCTTTCCAAGTGTTCACATGGAAATACTGGACTGATATTTATGAATGTTTTGGAGTGCTAAATTATATCGATAGATTTTTGTAGACTTTAGGGATTCTTTTACGACTATTTTCATTCTTCACCATTTTTAACTATTTGTTTATTTGAGCTAAACCAAAAAGCTTTTTATGTGAATTTGCAGGCCAAATTTTGTTTGAAAGAAAAAGTTTCTTTTTACAACTGATTCAATAAAATTTGTAACTTATTGGATGAAAAGATAATACAATTATAAAATGACACTATGAGAAGACAAAATTACCTCCTTATAAAAAAAATAAAAAGAAAAGAAAGACACCATATATACCATGCTTCCCTAACATAAAAAACAATGACCCTCTTAAAATATAAATTTGATGTATTTTTGTAAGTTGAACAATTTTTTCAAGAACTTTTCATGTGTTTATATATCTGACTAGATAATGCAACAACGACAGTAGCAATCAAGTCTTAGTCCAAAACTAGTTGAGATCAGCTTTATAAATCCTTTGTTTTAAATATTCACTAAAAATATATATTTTTTATTTACCATTGATAATTGAATGATAAATAAATTTATATGTATGATTATTCTTAAGTATTTAGAATCCAAATATATAAAAATACACTCATTTAAATAGTTCATATATCTCATTTACCGAACAATCTAAATCATTCAGCAATCATCTTTACTTATAACTTCTTAATCAGTTAGCTCAATAAGCCGTTGATTACGATTTAGCATTCAAAATCAACCGAAACAAACAATCCCTTAGTCCCCTAAATTAATTAAGTAATTCTTTGACCTCTCTATTCATTCACCAAAGATAAGTGTGTTGTCAAGATAAATACTTGAAGGCTGAACAATAAAAGCAAATAATGCATTAGTGCTTATATTGGGAGAAATATAAATAAATAAATAAATAAATTTGACTAAACTATAATACTAGAACTAATTCAGTCACCCTATAATACTAGAACTAATTCAGTCACCCGTACTAATATATGCATCAAAGTGCATTCCAAAACACATCTTAACCTTCTTATAATTTCAATGATGTCATATGGTAGAGACAAAGTGTGTGAACCAATGAATGATAAAAATAAAAAAAATAAAAAAGTATAAATGAACAAACAAGTATTTTCAGTTGCCAAAAAAATAAATGAGAAAAGACTATTCAGAATTCATTTTATCGACAAACACGCAGAAATCATGGTATATATCCTGATATGTCAGACATTTGTTTCAATGTTCATTCAGCATGAAGACACTGGATGTGCAATTATCAGTAGCTGCGATACATGTCAATTAAAATTCAAAACAAAATACATGTCAATTAAAATTCAAAACAAAATTCACCATACCTTGTCTTATAAGAGTACTTGATCATACTTAATTCTTAAATAACAAATATAACACATTACAGACACAATTAATTAGTTTAAGGACACTAAATTAACGTGAAAAGAAACAATATCCAGAAATGATTTTAAAACCAGATATTAGAAAACTACTGATTACAATGGTTTGAAATTTTGAAGTAAAGTAAAGGAGAGGTGCAAGAACAATTAGATAACAACTTAAAACCATCAAGTAGAAAAGCATGAGTGAAAAGATACAAGTAATATTTCGTTTTCAGTTCTCCTTTATTTCAAACTTATGTAATCCTAACTCTGAATTAAGCTTCTTACCCAAAGGGTTCAAGAGCTGAAATCAAAGTTTTAAATATCAATTATAAAAATAAATCTGTTAACATTAGCCTAAAATAATAGCAAACTTGAAAATGTTGGGAAAATCGCTATTTTCCATTTTTCCCGCCCTTCGGATCGGCTTCAAGCAGGAACAAATGAGAAAATAAAATAATGATTGAGAAATTAAAGAGAACACGATAATTTAACATGAAAAACTCCCCAAGTGGAGAAAAACCACGGTCGTTGTCAAACGACAATCAAGAAAAATATTCACTATGCGGCAAATTGTTACAACCACAATTACAAAATATTTTTCTACTTGAAACCCTCAAAACACCCCAAATATTTTATACTCCAAGGGATTCCAAAAGACTCCCTAATATAAAACACGTTCAAGTGTGTTTTGGTGTGTTTGGAAAGCTAAACCTAAACACATTAGCATTCCTTTTATAAACCAAACCACCTACCCTTCAAAATCTCAATCTCTCCCCGATGTGGGATGAGACAAAAGTTAAATTTTATATATTTTTTTTTCTATTTATTTTCAACATCAACACAAGGATTGCTAACAATCCTCACACATTTGAAAATAAAATAAAAAAAAAAACACAACATTGTCTGCTACCGACATCAATAATTCTTATCGTCAAGATACTTTTTCATACTCCACCATAAAGAGTATTCGCCACTTGGAACCACTTTTACTCGACTCCAAGAATTTTCATCGGCCATGTCGGATCCTAGCTAATAGTTTATGCGTGCAACCCTGCTGTGACATTTTTCTGAGATGTTATTACGCATCGAACATATTTTTTTCCACCCACCACTTTGCATCAACTGTTTCAATAATTGATGTGGGATTTTTCGGGGACCGGCTACCAATAATACTGTCTCTATAATGGCATCCTAACGGGTAGGCAACTCATGCATGAAGGACACAATCTCTCATTGACAGAGAGACAACACACCTTCATCTTCCTTCACACAGTAGACTCATTGGCCAACATCATCTCCTTCGCCACAGGAGATCACATTGGCAGCAACAACGTTAGAGCTTCTAGCCGAATCAGCTCCACCGTTCGGGCAATCCTTCCTCACGTATCCAGTTTGACCACAACCCCAGCAGACAACCTTCCTCTTTCCAGAGCTTTTATTTTTTTCCTGGTACCGACAGATAAAGCTGAATCCTCATATGAGTTATTTTTCATTTCATTCAGCCTTCTCTCCTCAGTAAGGAGCTTACTAACCACATCTGCATACACCACTTCCTTACTACCATATTTCAGAACATGTTTCATGTGCTCATATGTCGAAGGAAGTGGAGTCGGAGAGCTTTGGATCTCATCTTTCGGTTATGCACTCCAGAGTTTCTTTAATTGCAGAGCACGATGCCATTAAGACACACTCAATGCGAATTCTGACAGCTTTGTACCTTCCGTCATTTTTCAACGTAATTGAAATTGCTCCTTCAAATTATAACCATAATTGGCATATATTATTATTGTTGCTCTGTAACAGATTCTTTCCAGTTCTCTTCCCACAATCCTTTGTCGTGACAATCCTAAAGCACATTAGCAAGATAACATTTTTTTGCTACGACACATGCGAATTTGACTTGCCGCTTGTATCGAGGGCTCCTCCCATTCTTCATATCGCTTAATCTTTGGATTTTTCTGAGTGTTCTCCCACTGCTACGTCTTTCCATTGAATTTCTTTCCGCTGACATGGTTTACCCTTCAAAAACCTTATGCAGTCAGACTGAATCAACACGTCTTTTGACTTGCACCTTGCCACGGTTGCAAAATTCATTCTCCCGTCAAATTTCTGCAATCCTCACATACTCAAGCCGACCATGCTACTATGTACATATAACAGTACCCAATAATTAAGTGAAGTAAACCGATTCAGGCAATACCCAGGCGAGAAGATCACAAATTGATCTCACTAGACAATATTACCCATTTCCACGTAAAGAATCTCAGTTGGACGGAGGGGTCACAAAGTTTGTCCCACTTAAAAATCCGGCCTTCTAGACAGAAACGTTGACCGGTATATTATCAGAACTTTCGTACCAGAATAACTTCAATAATTATCGTCAGGACATTCACCACCGGTACTCAAGCACACCAAAGCAAAGCTCCACCCGTTCAAGACTTCTAAAACTCCACCTGCTTTTAAAATAAAATAATTTCTAACAACAATATTTCTGATGTGGAAGATCAGACTAAGCCGCAACCATTGTGCATACTTATAATTTAAATTACAAGAAATTATTTTAACACTAAAAGCTGCGCCTAACAACTAGGCTCTGATACTACTTATTGGGAAAATCGCTATTTTTTTTGCCCTTCGGATCGGCTGCAAGCAGGAACAAATGAGAAAATAAAATAATGACTGAGAAATTAAAGAGAATAAATAACACGATAATTTAATGTGGAAAACTCCCCAAGTGGAGAAAAAAAAACTCCCAATGGAGAAATAACCACTCGGCCGTGGTCCGACGAACAATCGAAGAAAAATATTCACTAGCGGGCAGAAATTGTTACACCAGCAATTACACAAAAATATTTTCTACTTGACACCCTCAAACAATACCCCAAGAATATTTATACTACAAGAGATTCCAAAAGGTATCCCTAATTATAAAACACGTATCAAGTGTTGTTTTGGTGTGTTTGGAAAGCTAAACCTTATTCCTTTTATGAACCAACCACCTCTCCATGCAAATTCTCAATACTCCTCGATGTGGATTGCGAGCCTAAAATATTTAAATTTTTATATTTTTTTTTTTCTTTTTATTTTCAACATTTCAACAAAATGGTGCTAAAGCAGAATAGACAGTAATTAAAGAGAATTGGTGATAAAGACAAAGGAGAAAAATAAAAGACAGTAATAAAGAAGATTGGTGATAAAGACAAAGGAGAAAAATAACCAAATAAGCATCAGAAAATTAAAAGCTAAAAACTAGAAATATGTCAAAAGCAAAGGTGCAAGAATCGTTAAGTACCTAATCTGCCAATATAAGCTGTCTCCATCAGCTGTGCTAAGGGATCTATAGCCTGTCCAGCGATTGCAGGCAAAGAAAGTTTTATAAGTTCACGTTCGACATCTGTTGGATGTGGTTGATCGATTGGATCCGTAACAGACTCACTGCATACAAAATTAAGAAAAATAAAGCATACAAGAATAATTATTAGAAAGGAACCAATTGTTCTAAGCTGATATGAATAAGATAAATATTCTTAAAAGTTCAGTTCTGAGGTAAAAAAATGGTATTTTTCAATTAACAAGAATTTTGTCTGTTGATAATTTGAATTAACAACTATAAGTAAGCATCTTATTATATTTAGCCTAAGTTAAAAAAAAATTAAAAAAATGGACCATATGGATTACCATCAATTGTCTTCTACATACAAACAATTCAATAATGTCAGTAGAGAGGGGGAATATAAGTTTTGGGATCAATTATTACTATAGGAGTTAGCATCAATAGTCCACTACAATCAAAAATTATATTAATTCTGGAATTTGGATCTTACGTTTGTTCATCTCTTGAACTGTTGAGGGCTAATTCTTCCTCTAAAGTTGATCTCTCCTGCACACCAGAACTTGACGGATCATAAGCCACCCTCAATGGTAGTCTTCCGCTACGCTTCAGAAGTGGTGATAAAAATTTTCTGTATTCCATAGACAAGCAACAGCTGGACACATCTCTACAACCTAATCCTTCAGGAATCTTATTTCGGTATGCCAAAGAAATCCTCCTTGTTCCTTTTGTTACTCCATTCCGTTCCCTCCTCCTAGTCAATCCCCTAGAGAGTTTACTTCCACTAAATTGTCTAGTAGCCATCATCAACAATTATCTGTCTCTCTTAAAACCTTCAAAATCAAACAAGCTTAAGAACTATCAAGAAATTATAATTAGAAAGAAAACCAAAAAAGAAATTACCATTTCTTTATGCTATTTTAATAAGCATCTCGCAATAAGAATTGAAAAAAAAACAGAGAAACAAAGCCAACTCTTTGAATTTAAAGAGCGAATTAAGAACATGCGTTGATTAATAAAAATCAACCCAATCAAATCAAGAAAAATAAAGTTTTCTATTTCTAAATTGCGAGATAAAAGTAAACCAGAAATTGAAAGAAACGAAACAGAGCATCAAAGGAAATGATCGGATGACTGATACTGGCACTGAAGAACCCAATTTCACGAGAGAAAAAGGAAGTAAAATGAAAAATATAGCACATAATAATAGTGTGACAGAGAAAGCGAAGCAATAGAAACCAAACAAGAATAGTAAGAAATAAAGAGAATTGTACAGAAAGCATAGGGAAGCCAAAGACAAAGGCAGAAGCTTCTTACTTTGACCTTCTTGTGATTGATTGCTTTTTGGGTTTAGACTGTTAGGGTTTTACTAGGAGATAAAAAGACAGGAGAAGGTATCTTTACAAAATCTGAAAGAGGTTTATCGCCATGGCCAGCCAGAGCTGTTTTTGGAAACGGAAACTCAATAAGAATGTCACGATATTAATATATGAAAAACTTGCATTTGAGAATGTTGGTATTAAGGACAGTATATTTTGTTATTTTATTTATATTCATTATAAAAACAATAAGAAGAATAAAATTAATATAATGATTAGAAGAATAAAATTAATATAATGATTAGTAATTTTCAAAAAAAAAAATTAAATAAATAAAAGTTCTAGTAAGATAAAGAGCAAAGAAAACAATCTTTTGTTTTGTTTTGTTATGTAGAATGTAAAAATGAGCTAGCAATTGTATTTAAAAGGTTTGTCGAAGGGCAGAATAGTATTTTTAAAGTAGGGGCAAAATTATTTATAGATTAGCAAAAGGGTGCATGTACATACTCACCTTACATCCTCGTATATGAATGAATGCCCACACATATAAGCTAAATGTATAAAATTACCCTTAAACTTTGTAGTTTTAATCACGTGACACCCTTAATTTTTATAACACTAATAATAATAATTTTCACATTTTTTAAATATTTAATAGGTATTTAATTAATATAATTTTATAAATTGAAGTATTCAATAAAATTATTTTATAAGTTTAAGTTCCGTATATGTACTTTTATAAGTTGAAATATTTAATGTTTCAAAGTAAAAGTTGATGGCATGTAAAAGTAATAAATTTCAAGGGAAATCACATATTTGGTCCACACATATATATAAAAGTTAAGTCTAATATATATAATTAGAGGTGTTATACTTTCATATCATAAAAATTTATTAAAATATTTCCCAATTGTTTTTTTATCAAATCTTATTTAAACAATTTTCATTTGTGAACTCTAAGCTTTTTTTTTCAAAAAAAAAAAAACATATGATGAAATTTGGTAATAGAAAAGTGGTAATAAAATTCAAATTAAAATTTTGAAATTATATTCAAATTAAAATTTTGAAATTATATTATTAATATCACCATGATAATAATTAATATTTTTATTTAAATAAATTTATTGCAGAATCTAATTGTGCTAAAAATATCTAAATTGTGTAAAAAAATAAAATAAAATCTTAAAAAAATAATTAGGACTAATTCCAAACCAATTCAAAGGTTTTTGTGAGTAGTTTCCAATTCATGCAAAAGGAACTAAATATTTAAGAATAAGTATCATTCATTCTTAGAGTTTGATATATTTAGATTTTGAAAACTATCATTCCAAGGGAAATTAGGAGGTAAAGATGAGAAAATGAAAGAAATATGGTGATAAATATTAAGAAGAAGAAAAAGAGGAGCAAAATGATAAAAAATAGGACCTTGTAAACTAGAATGATTAATTAAGTTTAACCATTAAATAACAATATATTTATAGGCAAGCACACTATAATCTAACTAATTTACATTAGAAAATATAATCTAGTTATGGATATGTTTCCTTATTATACAATAAATAAAATAAATAATAAAATTTTTAATTTTCCGATTTTAATTTCTTAATTTTTTCTTTTAATTTTCATGGAAAATGAAAATAAGAATAAACAAATTATATTTTATTTTTTAGGGGGCAATTTGAAAAAGGAAACGATTTTATTTGTTCAGAAGGTTAATTTTATTTGACTTTGCGTATTTAATTGACCTGAGTTGGATTAATTTTAACCATGTGTCAGGAATGGATTCCATTATTTTTATTGTTTATTATTTTTTAGACTCAAATTATAAATAGGGGTACAATCATTACAAAAGTTAAAAATTGGGGGTGCCTAAGGGATTAACTTAAGAATAGGGTGCAACTAAAACAAAACGCAAATTTGAAGGTATTTTTAATGGTTTACTCTGTTATCCGCTACCTCATTGTGGTGGATTTGGAAAGGTACGTAGGAATGGTATAGTTTTTTAGAATAATTTACGCTTTATAATTCTCCATCAATTGCTGCTGCAAAAAGCGAGGGAGTATGAATCTACTTGGAGGAATGGTTCTCTGGTACAGCTCAACTCAGGTCCTCTAAAGGCTGTGTATATAAGTTGGACTCCTTCTCCGAGACGATGGGTGTCTCTTAACTCTAATGGGAGTTCTAAAGGGAACCCTAGCAAGGCGGGTTGTGGTGGAGTGTTTCGTAGTGATGAGGAGAAATGGATGAGTGGTTTTATGATGCACATTGGTGTATGTAGTGCTCTCGAGGCTGAGTTATGGGGAGTGTTACAGGGGTTGCAGTTGTCTTGGGTAGCTGGTTTAGGCGGGTGGAGGTTCAAACGGACTCTTCAACGGTAATAGCTTTTCTCTCTTCTTCGACAACTTCTCCAGTGAAGTATAAAAAAAGAAGAAGAAAACATATTAAAAACACAGAGACCGAATCATATGGTACCCTATAAATTCAATGGCCTAGACATCTTGTGTAACTCTCATAGGTTTATTCCTTACTTCTCTATTTAAAAAAAAAAAAAAAAACTTTAAACATTCTCTTATTTAAAAAAAAAAAAAATAAAATAAAAAAAAAAAAAAAAAAAAAAAAAAAAAAAAAAAAAAAAAAGAGAAGAAAAACTATTATTTAAACACAGACCGTCATTATGGTACCAATATAAAAAAAAAAAAGAAGAAGAAGAAAACATATTAAAAACACCAAGACCGAATCATATGGTACCATATAAATTCAATATGAAAGGACAAGAGAAAATTATTCAATAATAATTCCTTTATAATGTATGAATATTCACAAATATTACTAATTTAGGTTGTAAAGTTGTACACAATTAAAAATCAAACTTTAAATAGTGAAAACAAAAATTTCTTATAGCCAAATAAAAAAAAGCTTTTATGGTAATAAAAAAAAAAACAATAAAATAGTTTTGGCATAAGTTGTGTTTGGCACAACTACAGTGAAATTATGGTGAAATGACAATAAAGCTTTTAGAGAAATTAAGTAGTTTGCCTTGTTGATGTGACCTACTATTAGTGATGTTATAGTGCAGTGTTGCTATCATGGTTAAAAGTTCTACCCATCGATTTTGTGAGAACCGTCGCCATCGGCCAACATATATGGTGGCTGAAAAATTGAGCCAATTTAGAAATTTGCCCATTATACATCAAAACGATCAAAATTTTGTGAGGATCTCAATCGTGCTATCAATTTTTAAAAATTTTATCAATTTCATTAAAAGCCCCAAATTGCCAAACTTACACCCAAATTTTAAAATTCTTCCACCAAATCCTTGAACGCAAAATCAAGTTTAATTCATAGAAAACTATAAATTCAGGCCTATCCCAACAAGAATTATAGTCGGAATTATAAAATCCAAGCAAAAAAATTAAGAACAACAAAACTTGAATTTCTTAGTTTGCAAAAGTAGGAACTCAATCAATCAAATGGTGACCTTATATAGGCTTATCATAACTAAAGGAGTATTTTGCATCTTATTCTCATTAAACGGTGACCAGAGTTCGATAAGAGAAGAAGAGACAATAGCCTCTTTCACTTGACGTAAATAAAGGAGAGGAAGAAGAAAATGAGATTTTCTCTCTTCTCTTAAACTATTTATAGTCTAGTTTGGTCTGATTAGAGCTCGATTCAGTCTGAATCACAAAACTTTGATTTCTTTGATTTTCTAGTGGTTTAACTTGTAACATTATAATTAGATTAGACAAAAAAATAAATACATTAATTGACTTTACATACGTTCTTTAATTGTTAAAAAACTTTCTCTATCCATTGAAATGATGGAAATCTAAAAATCAGGCATAATTAATAAAATTGAAATTCAATACCTTAATTAGTATATATAATTAAACAATGTTAAGGTATTTCAAATCATTGAAATAAAATTATAACCTTTTTAATTACTAGCTAGAATTATTCTATATAATAATAACAATAATAATAATAACCACCACTTTATCATCAAAATTACATCTTTTTTATGTAGGGAGTTTAAATCAACCCACAAGCAAAACTACGTCACTCATGCTAATTATCATTCAAATTCTAATTGTATCATAATTATAGACATTCTAATTAGAGCTAGTAATATAATCAAGCTTTTAAAAATGGTTAGCTTCAATATAAAATGGTTAGCTTCAATATTCCCAATAACCAAACCTTTAGAAACCAAAGAATCCAATTCCATGACAAGTTGTCAAAATTCAAAATCCAAGCCAAGTGGAGGCCATAGTTAAATGCTTGAAACTCACCCTCCCTAGGTGAACAAACACCAAGTTGGATAATGAATCCACTTATTTGCCACAACAATCACTTATTGTAAGAGTATTTGATGCACATATTAGCATAATCTGAATTAGCTTTAATTAACATGTCTTAAGTTATAAGTTATAATGAAGGTAGAAGATGAAAAGTGATTAACATTTTCCAGAGTACTTTCCATATCCTGAAAAGTGCAAGTGTTTACCTTGCTTTTTGCCTCCTTAACCAGAGTGACATATAGTTATCCAAAATCAACTTTTTTATACAGTTTACTTACCAACTTAATTTATCCAATTAAAAAATATATTTAATTCATTACTATTCAATAACTATTACTATTCAATAACTCATTGTTGGAAAGTGCTAAGTTTAATTAAAAAATTCATTAATTTTTGTGAACTTTAATTTAGTATAAGCACATTGCTCTCCCTTTAACACTATATTTATTTTTTAAAGTTTGACAATCACTTTAGTAGCATAATATATCCCATGATAATTATTATATTAATTCTCGCATTTCACTTCAATCTGGATAATAATAATAATTAATAATTAATAATAATAATAAATAATTATAATAATACTAATAATAATAATATAAAAAAGAAAATTGAGTTTGATAATAAAAGAAATTGTTGATAATTTCCCAGACTGTTTGTTCCCTTTTGTGCATGCTGATATGGCTGCACTTTTTCAATGAATAGTTCTATGTTTATTCTCAAAAAAAATAATAATAAAAGAAATAACATATACAGATATTAGCATTAAATAACACAATAAAAGATATTACTTCCTCCATTCCATATAAATATATATAGGCTAACTTATCTTTTTGGTCTATCTCAAAATATAATCCTATTTTTTTAATTAT